GTTGGATCAAGCTTAATGTTATTAAATTGTGTTTGGCCATTCGAATTACGTTTGTCCTGAAAGAATTAAAACTGTAGCTTCTCAGATGACCGAGATATGAAGCATAACGAGTTTATTCATTACGTGTGATCAGGTGATTGGATTACCTAATCACGTGATAAGGTGACCCCGTTAACTACCCCGTTAAACATTATGGGAATTGTTAAGAGTGCCCAATTAAGGTGTCGTGTCACGGTGTCACATAATCACCCAGTCAATTTTGTTAACGAGATACAGAAAATGCTTGATAACTTCGTCATTTCTAATCCGTTTTGCCTCATGTTTTTAGATCATATGTAACATTTGATAATCTACCGTCTCTGAAAAAATTAGGCGTTCAGCATGTTCAGAGAAAACAATATAGGTGTTTTAATATTGAATGGGCGTGGTCTAAAATATTCGAATTTTCAAATTTTGACGACGGAATCCTCGAACCAGTAAGTACAGTATGCAATCTGCAAAGCAACAGCTCTCAAATATAAAACACGGCGGAGCTATTAAGGCCAACGTATGGGTACTGACTTTTGGCCCACCCTGTATTATAATTACTTAAACAGCAGGTAACACTGCTGTAAACTCTGGAGTTATCAATAACAGGGTTTATGTTTCTCCAAAACATGAAAAAGGGCAATGTTGCCCCCGCCCCCCCCCCCCCCCCTGTTCCAGAGCACTTACCGTCTTAAACTCAAAACAAAATAACATTTCACATCATGTGTCGTATAACACACAGCTGTATGTGGTGAAGCTTACATCTTAGGATGTGTAGTGTGTACACATGGGATGTATTCTCGCTATTGATCTAGAACTCTAGATCAATAGCGAGAATTGTGGTGTGGTGTTTCGTGGTGTGGTGTGGCGGGGTTTAGTTTGTGATCTACCAATTCTTACCTCATTACAATTTCAGGACCTGCTGGAGACGCGGAAGCAGCTAAAGAATTTATTTTGCGGATGTACTTAGCATTGAATCCAGTTCCAGAAACGGGGGACCCTAAAACAATATACTCTCACTACACGCAAGCCACCGATACGGAAAACATTAGATTCGTCTTCGCGGCCGTAAAAGACACAATTTTACAGTTGAACCTGAAGGAATACAATTTAGTGTGAGGGTATGGGTCTGATAGCCTGGACAGTGTGTTGAGAGGAATAGCCCCGTTTCTCTTGGTGCGCTGCGCTTCAAGTTTCCGGAAGATCTGCCATTTGTCCGACGAGTAGCTCTCCCTCTCTCGACTGTTCGTACTGGAAAGCAGGGTCTCGTGTCGTTTGTTGAGCGCTCAAGGAACGGGAACTGACGAATCCTCTTCCTTTTCGCATCACGTTAGATGCGCACGTTGTGCACACCTGCTGGCGTGCGCACTTAGCTGCGCGTGTTGCGCTCAACTCCCCTTCTCCACTCAACCAGGACGGGTTGAGATCAACCGCGCAGCACGTCACACAAGTACCCCCTCCCCTTGACTCATGATATACTCCAAAAGAAGACTTAGTCAGATGAGTGGCAGCTCAATATAGCCCAGCTATTGTTCAAATTGATAATGTATATAAGATTGGTTGTCGTGTGTGTTTCGAGTTTAAAATTTAAATTAATATTTGCTATATTAAAGGTTTCTCCATTTTAGTACTGCAGGTCCGCCCCGCTAATTTGTTTAGCTTTTGCTCTTCACGCTAGCAAAGGTATGATATGTGGCAGTCCAACCCATGATTTTGGTAACTTCCATAGATATCTGCAAAGTTATATACGTTTTGATGATGATCAATTTTTGCGAAATCTATATACAGCTGTCTGTGCCCAAGAAAGGCTCTTTTAGAACACTAACGGTAATAACACTGTGTTAAAGGCTATGTGTTAAAAGTTCTCATTTTTTCATGAATTTGTATGATCTTGAATGTGAGCCTATTCTCTGCTTGTCGGACAGCTTTAATACTGGGTTTTACAGAATTTTAGAATTTATTTTTATTAATAAAGAAATCAAATTGTGATAGGTTTTATTTTTATCATGCATTCGGATCAAGACGAATCCAAATGTTTGACGTTATGTATTTGATATATGTACCACCCCCAGAAGTGCAGTGTGAACCAGGCGCGGGTCGGCCGGTAGCGCAGCGCTGTAACTGCTCCGCACTGCTCACCTGCCTAACCAGGTCCATGGTTAGCAGCTGACTTGCCTTGCAGTGCAGTGCCTCCCCACCGCCCGACTCTCGCTTCGTAACGTTTCCTTTGGAACCCAGGCCCTTTGGTTCCCATGTTAACTTTACCTAACAACCGGTGATTAACAGATGATTTCAGCTCTAACTTTCTCCACACCGATCTTTCGTAGATTTGCATGGGTAGTGTGCCGCGCGTGAGGCACTGGACGCGAGCTGCCACGTACTTTACAACTCAGAATTAGCGAATTGTTTTACGAGATTTTGGTTTTTAGTGTTTGAGTTATCTGTAGCATTTCGTACCGGTATGTATATGTGTGTGTGTGTTAAGTGTAACCTTAACAACGTTCCTTGCTTTGGTTACCTTGACTACCACCATCTTAACCGGTATGTAATGCTCTTAGTGGTGCTAGCAAGGAATCCAGTCTGTAAAGATATGTTTATAATAATAATATAATTGGTAGACAATTTTTATACTTCTCTGAGAAATTCACTGTTTTCTTTTAGGTTGTTGTCAGAAGTGTTGTGAGACGTTAATGTGTAAATCAAAAGTTAATTAAACGGTTTGTTTTTCATTATTGTTCGGAAGCATTAAACTGGGGGAGAGCTGTTGAGAGTAGGAGATGTTAAAAGTCGGAGATTTTGAGAGTTGGAGATTTTGAGATTGGGAGATGTTAAAAATGGGAGATGTTGAGAGTATGAGATGTTGACAAAGGGAGATGTTGAAAGTGGGAGATGTTAAAAGTGGGAGATGTTAAAAGTGGGAGATGTTAAAAGTGGGAGATGTTGAGAGTGGGAGATGTTAAAAGTGGGAGATGTTGAGAGTGGGAGATGTTGAGAGTGGGAGATGTTGAGAGTGGGAGATGTTGAGAGTGGGAGATGTTGAGAGTGGGAGATGTTGAGATTGTGTGATGTTGAGAGTGGGAGATGTTGAGAGTGGGAGATGTTGAGAGTGGGAGATGTTGAGAGTGGGAGATGTTGAGAGTGGGAGATGTTGAGAGTGGGAGATGTTGATAGTGGGAGATGTTGAGAGTGGGAGATGTTGAGATTGTGTGATGTTGAGAGTGGGAGATGTTGAGAGTGGGAGATGTTGAGAGTGGGAGATGTTGAGAGTGGGAGATGTTGAGAGTGGGAGATGTTGAGAGTGGGAGATGTTGAGATTGTGTGATGTTGAGAGTGGGAGATGTTGAGAGTGGGAGATGTTGAGAGTGGGAGATGTTGAGATTGTGTGATGTTGAGAGTGGGAGATGTTGAGAGTGGGAGATGTTGAGAGTGGGAGATGTTGAGAGTGGGAGATGTTGAGAGTGGGAGATGTTGAGAGTGGGAGATGTTGAGAGTGGGAGATGTTGAGAGTGGGAGATGTCGAGAGTGGGAGATGTCGAGAGTGGGAGATGTTGAGAGTGGGAGATGTTGAGAGTGGGAGATGTTGAGAGTGGGAGATGTTGAGAGTGGGAGATGTTGAGAGTGGGAGATGTTGAGAGTGGGAGATGTTGAGAGTGGGAGATGTTGAGAGTGGGAGATGTTGAGAGTGGGAGATGTTGAGAGTGGGAGATGTTAAAAGTGGGAGATGTTGAGAGTGGGAGATGTTAAAAGTGGGAGATGTTGAGAGTGGGAGATGTTAAAAGTGGGAGATGTTAAAAGTGGGAGATGTTAAAAGTGTGAGATGTTGAGAGTGGGAGATTAGATGTTAAAAGTGGGAGATGTTGAGAGTGGGAGATGTTGAGAGTGGGAGATGTCGAGAGTGGGAGATGTTGAGAGTGGGAGATGTTGAGAGTGGGAGATGTTGAGAGTGGGAGATGTTGAGAGTGGGAGATGTTGAGAGTGGGAGATGTTGAGAGTGGGAGATGTTGAGAGTGGGAGATGTCGAGAGTGGGAGATGTTGAGAGTGGGAGATGTTGAGAGTGGGAGATGTTGAGAGTGGGAGATGTTGAGAGTGGGAGATGTTGAGAGTGGGAGATGTTGAGAGTGGGAGATGTTGAGAGTGGGAGATGTTGAGATTGTGTGATGTTGAGAGTGGGAGATGTTAAAAGTGGGAGATGTTAAAAGTGTGAGATGTTGAGAGTGGGAGATTAGATGTTAAAAGTGGGAGATGTTGAGAGTGGGAGATGTTGAGAGTGGGAGATGTCGAGAGTGGGAGATGTTGAGAGTGGGAGATGTTGAGAGTGGGAGATGTTGAGAGTGGGAGATGTTGAGAGTGGGAGATGTTGAGAGTGGGAGATGTTGAGAGTGGGAGATGTTGAGAGTGGGAGATGTCGAGAGTGGGAGATGTTGAGAGTGGGAGATGTTGAGAGTGGGAGATGTTGAGAGTGGGAGATGTTGAGAGTGGGAGATGTTGAGAGTGGGAGATGTTGAGAGTGGGAGATGTTGAGAGTGGGAGATGTTGAGATTGTGTGATGTTGAGAGTGGGAGATGTTGAGAGTGGGAGATGTTGAGAGTGGGAGATGTTGAGATTGTGTGATGTTGAGAGTGGGAGATGTTGAGAGTGGGAGATGTTGAGAGTGGGAGATGTTGAGAGTGGGAGATGTTGAGAGTGGGAGATGTTGAGAGTGGGAGATGTTGAGAGTGGGAGATGTTGAGAGTGGGAGATGTTGAGAGTGGGAGATGTTGAGAGTGGGAGATGTTGAGAGTGGGAGATGTTGAGAGTGGGAGATGTTGAGAGTGGGAGATGTTGAGAGTGGGAGATGTTGAGAGTGGGAGATGTTGAGAGTGGGAGATGTTGAGAGTGGGAGATGTTGAGAGTGGGAGATGTTGAGAGTGGGAGATGTTGAGAGTGGGAGATGTTGAGAGTGGGAGATGTTGAGAGTGGGAGATGTTGAGAGTGGGAGATGTTGAGAGTGGGAGATGTTGAGAGTGGGAGATGTTAAAGTGGGAGATGTTGAGAGTGGGAGATGTTAAAAGTGGGAGATGTTGAGAGTGGGAGATGTTAAAAGTGGGAGATGTTGAGAGTGGGAGATGTTAAAAGTGTGAGATGTTGAGAGTGGGAGATTAGATGTTAAAAGTGGGAGATGTTGAGAGTGGGAGATGTTGAGAGTGGGAGATGTCGAGAGTGGGAGATGTCGAGAGTGGGAGATGTTGAGAGTGGGAGATGTTGAGAGTGGGAGATGTTGAGAGTGGGAGATGTCGAGAGTGGGAGATGTCGAGAGTGGGAGATGTTGAGAGTGGGAGATGTTGAGAGTGGGAGATGTTGAGAGTGGGAGATGTTGAGAGTGGGAGATGTTGAGAGTGGGAGATGTTGAGAGTGGGAGATGTTGAGAGTGGGAGATGTTGAGAGTGGGAGATGTTGAGAGTGGGAGATGTTGAGAGTGGGAGATGTTGAGAGTGGGAGATGTTGAGAGTGGGAGATGTTGAGAGTGGGAGATGTTGAGAGTGGGAGATGTTGAGAGTGGGAGATGTTGAGAGTGGGAGATGTTGAGAGTGGGAGATGTTGAGAGTGGGAGATGTTGAGAGTGGGAGATGTTGAGAGTGGGAGATGTTGAGAGTGGGAGATGTTGAGAGTGGGAGATGTTGAGAGTGGGAGATGTTGAGATTGTGTGATGTTGAGATTGTGTGATGTTGAGAGTGGGAGATGTTGAGAGTGGGAGATGTTGAGATTGTGAGATGTTGAGAGTGGGAGATGTTGAGAGTGGGAGATGTTGAGAGTGGGAGATGTTGAGAGTGGGAGATGTTGAGAGTGGGAGATGTTGAGAGTGGGAGATGTTGAGATTGTGTGATGTTGAGAGTGGGAGATGTTGAGAGTGGGAGATGTTGAGAGTGGGAGATGTTGAGAGTGGGAGATGTTGAGAGTGGGAGATGTTGAGAGTGGGAGATGTTGAGAGTGGGAGATGTTGAGAGTGGGAGATGTTGAGAGTGGGAGATGTTGAGAGTGGGAGATGTTGAGAGTGGGAGATGTTGAGAGTGGGAGATGTTGAGAGTGGGAGATGTTGAGAGTGGGAGATGTTGAGAGTGGGAGATGTTGAGAGTGGGAGATGTTGAGAGTGGGAGATGTTGAGAGTGGGAGATGTTGAGAGTGGGAGATGTTGAGAGTGGGAGATGTTGAGAGTGGGAGATGTTGAGAGTGGGAGATGTTGAGAGTGGGAGATGTTGAGAGTGGGAGATGTTGAGAGTGGGAGATGTTGAGAGTGGGAGATGTTGAGAGTGGGAGATGTTGAGAGTGGGAGATGTCGAGAGTGGGAGATGTTGAGAGTGGGAGATGTTGAGAGTGGGAGATGTTGAGAGTGGGAGATGTTGAGAGTGGGAGATGTTGAGAGTGGGAGATGTTGAGAGTGGGAGATGTTGAGAGTGGGAGATGTTGAGAGTGGGAGATGTTGAGAGTGGGAGATGTTGAGAGTGGGAGATGTTGAGAGTGGGAGATGTTGAGAGTGGGAGATGTTGAGAGTGGGAGATGTTGAGAGTGGGAGATGTTGAGAGTGGGAGATGTTGAGAGTGGGAGATGTTGAGAGTGGGAGATGTTGAGAGTGGGAGATGTTGAGAGTGGGAGATGTTGAGAGTGGGAGATGTTGAGAGTGGGAGATGTTGAGAGTGGGAGATGTTGAGAGTGGGAGATGTTGAGAGTGGGAGATGTTGAGAGTGGGAGATGTTGAGAGTGGGAGATATTGAGAGTGGGAGATGTTGAGAGTGGGAGATGTTGAGAGTGGGAGATGTTGAGAGTGGGAGATGTTGAGAGTGGGAGATGTTGAGAGTGGGAGATGTTGAGAGTGGGAGATGTTGAGATTGTGTGATGTTGAGAGTGGGAGATGTTGAGAGTGGGAGATGTTGAGAGTGGGAGATGTTGAGATTGTGTGATGTTGAGAGTGGGAGATGTTGAGAGTGGCCTTACTACCGCCCAATTTCCCTGTGGTTTTGGTGTGATTGTATTGACGAACGTTCTACGTTCAGTACAGGCATACAAAATATATACATATAAGTATATACTTAAGTGATCCGATGAATTCAACAAAAACTGATTTCAAATCACTCATGTTTAATACCTTAACAATCATGATAACCTCAAATTATTTATTACACAGCACTTTATTACATATATGTATATAGATATATATATATAGTATGTATAATATATGCCTGTCGTGACAAGCAAGCTGCAGAGTAACACGCCAACCACCATAAGCCCTGGGACAACTCACAAATAACTCCTGAACTACTAGCACAGAATTTTGTCCAATTTTGTTATACCGCCTGCACTGCACTAAGCATTTACTGTGTTGCTTTGCGCGCACTCTGCCTGCGCGTACACCACTTAAACTGTTACATGATGGCCCTTGGATACAACAGTTTGATTAATAGTGCTGCTAAACTTTACAGACTTTCAGTCAGCGCTCGATCTTCATAAATACACCTGACTAGTTGTAACTTCAAACTCACTAACATCAAACTCGAAATGTATTCTGATTTATTACATAATGGGGGGAGGGGGGGGGGGGGGGGGGCAACCATATTAAAGTATATCCCCGGATCAAAATCGGAAAAAATCCTACATTTTAATATACTTTAATATACCTACAATTAGAAGATTTATATTCTTCGTTAAGATTTACATGATGAACTATATTTTTCACTCAGAT